AGTTGGCTAGGATTGGGCCCAGGTGTCTGGGATTCGGCCCACATGCGGTTCGAACCACCCCCCCTTCCCCCCTCTGCGCCGAACAGGGGGCCGGGGAGAGGGCCTCTCCCGCAAAGGGCGAGGGTCTGGCCTCGGGGTAGTGAGTAGTGGTTAGTGAGTAGAGAGTAGTGCGTAGTGAGTAGTGAGTAGATAGTAGCGAGTAGTGAGGATTAGGAGTGAGTGGTGTGCAGTAAGTAAAGACTAGCGAGTAGTGAATAGTGAATAATGGTCTAGGGGACATGGGTAGTGAGTAGTGAGTTGCGAATAGGAAGTGGCGAGTGGTGGATAGTGAATCGCGATACCACGTTGTGAGTAGTGCGTAGTGAGGAGGGAGTAGTCAGTAGTGAGTAGCGACTAGGGAGTAGCGAGTAATGATTAGTGAGTAGTGAGTAGTGAATAGTGAGCACTGAATAGTGAGTAGTGAGTAGCGACTTGTGGTCAGGGACTAGTGAGTGGGGAGTAGGGAGTAGTGAGTCGTGCGTTGTGTGTACTGAATATTGCGTATAGGATAGCGAGTATCGAGTAGGGCTTAGCGAGTAGTGAGTGGTGAGTAGTGAGCAGTGAGTAGTGTGTTTGGAGTGGGAAGCAGCGAGTAGCGAGCAGCGGATAGTGAGTAGTGAGTTGTGGGCAATGAGTTGTGAGTAGTGAGCTGTGCGTCCTGACTCGTGAGTAGTGGGTACTGGTAAGTGGGTCGTGACAAGTGAGAAGTGAGTAGTGAGTAGCCAGCACTGAGTAGTGTTTAGTGGGTGGTGATTATTGAGTACTTGGTAGTGAGTTGGGAGTAGTGAGTAGTGAGTAGTGAGTAGTGGGAACGTAGTGAATAGTGAGTAGTGGGTAGTGAGAAGTGCTTATTCGGTAGCGAGTAGGGTGTAGGGAATAGCAAGTAGTGAGTAGTTAGTAGTGAGTATTTTGTAGGGAGCAGGGAGTAGCGAGTAGCGAGTCGTTAATAGTGAGTAGTGATTTTTGGGCAGTGAGTAGTTAGTAGTGAAGTGTGAGTAGTGAGTAGTGGATTCTGGTTAGTGTGTATTGAGTAGGGATTTGTGATTCGTTAGTTGTGGGTAATTAGTAATGTTTAGTGAGTAGTGGGTTTGAGTAGTGGGTAGTGAGTAGTGAGTATCCAGTAGGGAGCAGTGAGTAGGGAGAAGGGACTAGGGAGTAGGGAGTAGTGAGTAGTGGGTAGTGGTGGGTGAGTAGCGGGAATTGAGTAGTGAGACGTGATGAGTGAGTAGTGATAAGTGAGAAGTGAGTAGTGCGTAGCGAGTAGTGTGTAGTGGGTAGTGAGTAGTGCGTGGTGAGCAGTGAGTACTGTTTGGGGGTTTGGGGCTAGTGTTTGGGGTTAGGGTTAGGGGTTAGGGTTAGGGTGAATATTAGCGTTAGAGGTGGCAGGGGTCGGGTTCCGGAGCTACGGGGCGCCGTAGCGAAAGGGGGGGAAGGGGGGGGGCGATTTTGGCTGCCAAAAGGGGGGAGAAGGGGGGGGGGTCCCCGACGACGGATCGGGAAAGGGGGGGAGGGGGGATGTTCCCCGACGACGGATCGGGAAAGGGGAGGGGGGGTCCCGACGACGGACCGGGGAAAGGGGGGAGGGGGGTCCCCCCTGCCCCCCCCTCTTGGGGATCCAGCGGCGCGCCCTTGTAATTTTGGCCCCACGAGGTCCTCTTGTAGCCCTCCTTTGGGCATCGGGTGGGCTTTTTGGGGGCATCTTGGGCCGTCATGAATTTTCTTGGGCCAGCTCGGTGCCATCTTAGCAGCCTTTGTGAGCATCTAGGGCCACATTCACCGTCTTGCAGGCCATCTGGGACCACATCTGCCGTCTTCAATGCCATCTGGAGGCCATCTTGGACGAGAAGGCCGATGGGATGGTGTTCGCCCGTGTTGCTGGCGGGTCAAGACGAAGGCCACTCGGAACCTTATTAAACATGTTCAAACCACGCAAACAACACCAATGCTAAACACAGGGGGGCGACGGATGTAGTGCCCTTCGGCCCATCCCACCTTGTTTGGGTTGTAGGTCGGAGACCTCTTGGATGCATGTGGAGATCTCTTGGGAGGGAGGCCTCTCAGTAGCCTTTTTTTTGGGGGGGGGGCTCGCGGGGGCCTTCTAGGGTTTCAGAGCCTTTTAGGGCCTGGTCTGGATCTGTTCGGAGCTTCAGTGGGGCTTCGGAGAGGTATCTTGGGAGCCTGCAGGCGGTCTCTGGGGTCATCCCAGGGCGGAGGGCTCGAAATGTCCAGTTCGGGCTCTCCTTGCTGAGGCCGTCTCGGGGCACCCTCGGGCCATCTGGGGGCTGGTTTGGGGGCCTCTTGGGGCGATCTTGGGCGCCTCTTGGGGCCGCCGTGGAACGTCGGAAGTCAGAAAAGGCGAGATCGCCAGATGAATCCAGCAACCGCAGGAGCATCAACTATTTTGGCCTGTCGGCCCCCTCTTTGGGGGGCGTCTTGGAGCCCTTTTGGGGCGTCTTGGGGGGTTCGTTGGCCGTCTTGGTGCTATCTAGTGCGCTTTGGAGCGATATTTCGGAGATTCTGGCTCGTCTTTGGGCCTCTTCGTGCCCTATTGGCCCGTTTGGGGGCCTTCTTGGTTCCAGAGTACTCTAGCGGTCTAGCGGGATTCCGGCAGCGCTTGGAATTCGGGTTTGTAGGTGGAGAGCATTGAGTTCCTCATACGGAGAATTTGAAAGGACCTGAGGACATTGCGTTCAGTGCTTCAGCACGATTGCAAATGCAGATGCGCTGCTGAGCAATTCCGTGTGTGGCTTTAGTTTCTTCGCGCGGAGGTCCCAAAGCGCAGGGATTTGGACAATTGCATGGGCATGGCATGTTCGGTTCGACGCGTCGCGTGCCTCTGTTTCATTGTTGTCTCGCAAGAAAGAGAATAGATCGAAAAGGCAAGGGCCGGAAGACACACACACACACAAGCACATGTACATACACACGTATATAACATAAATCAGCACCGCCCCCCCCTGCCCCAGGTCCCATCCCCCCCGGAAAATCTCCGGGAACGCTCCCGGCACCGCTCCCCCGGCCTTTCCGGGGAGCCTCCACAGCGCTCCAGTAGGGCCGAAGACTCCGCCCAGGAGCCCCCAGAATGCGAAAGGATGGCCCAAGACGCTCCCAAGCAGCCCAAGTCAGCCTTCCGACGGCTCTCGAGGCTCACATATGGCCTCCAAGAGACCCCAGGAGACGTCCGACAATGTTTTTGGCTTCTCGCGTTTCCGAGCTTCCAACGCTCCAGAACGCCCAAGAGCCGCCCAAGACCACCCCAAGACCACCCAAGAGACCCTCAGGACTGCCCCAACACGGGCCAAGAAGGCTCCAAGATTGCTGAAGAAGCGCCCAGGACAGCCCCAGACCACCCCAGAACAGGCGCAAGACGGGCCCAAGAGCGGGATCAGGAGGCTGCCAGAGACCTCCGAGAGGCCTCCGGGACCGACCAGAGGCCCCAACACACCCCCGATCCCCGAGATGCCCCAAAAAGAACCCGACGAGGCTCCAAGAACAGCCCATGAGAGTTGCGAGAGCCATCCCGAGAGAGCCCAAAGATGGTAGAATCGTTGATTTCCAATGGTTTTTCTCATGTTCTTCGCCTTCTCACGTTTTCCCGCTTTCAACCCTCGAAGATCGAGGATTTTGGATTTTGAGGCATGGGTGCACTCACCCGGGTCAGGGTGCAGGATCCTGCAGGATTTTGCAGGATTTTCCAAAGCCCGACTGACTCGGGTTTGGAGTGACCAGGGTCAGTAGATGCCCGAAACGCGCAGGCGATGACGGAACTATGAGGCGGAAGGAAACATGAGAGCGCAAGTCCGGGGAGGGAGGGAGAGGGGAGGAGGGAAACGGGCCAGCGGCCAGCGGCAAACCCGAGGACGTCGCAGACCCATGCAAACATATTATTCTTCATATGTCGCTCCGATGGGATGTAGCCGGTGGTCCCCATACTACGAAGGCGGGGCGCGCTCATGGCAAATTAACCACACTGCGTGGTAGCGAAGCCGAAATTACAACCCAAGCGACGTCGAGTTCAAGTGGCCGTTTTTTTCAAAGACGCACACACACACACGGACAAACCGCTGCGCCTCGCGGTGGCGGAGTCTCCTCCTCACTCCTCAGTCCCCCACGGCGCCCGCACTCCTTGTGTTTAGCCGATCTGCCACCTGGAAGGTCAAAGGCACCGAAGCCGGTGGAGCAGCACGATCCGCGGCATCTGTGCGGACAGGTTCCCCTGACGAGCGCAGGCTCGCCGCGCACTAATGAGACTGCAACGAAAAGGCATCACCCGCTGCCCATCTAAGAAAAAGAAGAACAACAGCACAGACATACACTCTCGGAGCTCCGCGCGGATTCCTTGGGTCGGCGCTCGGGCCCCCCTGACGGCGCATCCGGCGCCGCCCCTGGCGCGCCAACAACTCCGCGCAGACCTCCCAAGAGTTTGTCTTTATGCTGTTGCTTTCGGGCCGAACGAACGGGGGGAATAGGAAAAGGGGGGGGTAGAACATCTGCTGCATGCAGCTGGCTTCGGCCCCGCCGCCGGGCCCATTGCTAGATACATGGGCGCCTCCTGGCGCTGGGAGGCGCTGGGAAAATCAGCTACGTGAGCGGATTCTCTAGCCTGCCCTTTGCTATCCCCCCCTTTCGTTCCCCCCGATGCTTGCCCCTCGATCGGGGGTTGCTAAAGGTGCCCCTGGCTTTAAGGTGCCCTCAGCTTTTCGTTTCATTTTGGAGCCCCTGGGCCCGCTGGGCCATCGTGAGGGGTGCTCTCTGCAGGCTGCGGGGGGCATCCTCGGAATCCCCGGTGGACACCATGAGCCCGGGGCACCCCTGGCAGTAAGTCGGGCCTGTCCCTATACGGGAGGAATGGTCCAAAATAGTTTGACAAATATTCTGGGGACGATTTGTTTGACAGTGTTTCGACTATGTTTGAGCATGTTTGGGGTTTCTATCGTTTTTCCTCCAACATCCGCCTGTCGGGGGGACACGCCCGACCTAACCCTAGCAACGCCCGACTCTATGGGCTCATTAGGTGGGAGATTCGCGCGGCTCGGGCTGGGATTCGCCTTTATAGCCTGCCGTGCGCCTTCCCCGCCCAACTGCCTCCTCCGCCCCTGGGATAGGCATCCACGCGTGACCCCTGCCCCTACAGTCAACACTGATGGGAAGGATACTTCCAAAGGGTACCCTTGCATCCTTGCCTGTTCGGTCATCTTCGGTCCATCCTCAACCACTTTCGATTGCCAGCCCCGCTCGAAAAGCTTCGACATGGTCGTGCAAGGGGCTTGCATCATTACCACGCATCCTCACTATCAGTGTTGACTGTCCCGCCAGTCGGTTTGATCCAGGGGGGTTCTCGTCGGTGGGAGTTCACTTCAAATGCGCCCGCTCGCAGTTTTTGGGCCCGCAACCTGGCCAACATTTCTGGGCAGAAGTTGCAGGGGGCACGCGTACACGCGTGGCTGCCTACTCAGTCTCCCAGC